GGAGGCAGCTGATCGATGTTTCTCTCTCATCGATGTTTCTAACTCTCTATCTCTCTCCCTTCCTCTCTGTAAAAAATCAATAAAATATATTTAAAAAAAAAAAGAAATGATAAATGACTCCAAAATATAATACTGTATGGCCTAAGTATAAGGTGCTAAGGCATTCATTCATCAAATCTTAAGCATCTGTATGTGCTTTGTACAGCAGTATAAAGATCAGTAAGGTGTGTGTCCTGGCAGTAAGGATTTCAGTGTGTTCAGGGAAGGAAAGACCTGTTCTTGACAGGAGTTTTCTCATGGAGACTCAGTTTGTTTGTTTAAGTGCTCACTTCCAAAAATAATTTATTTGAGTTGGTTTATAAGAAGTAATTAAGTATTTCATTGAGGGCTGGAATATGATGGGGTGGGAGGAAAATTGCAGATTGAAATAATAACGTGGAGGCAGTAAGTAGAACATTTTCTTACAACAGTTTCTGATAGGATCTTTTAAAGTTGTAGCCAGAGGAGAATATTTCACAGGCAAATGGAGTCCAGCGTGGAGAGAGGTCTGAAGACCAAGGTAAGGATTTCTGATTTTGAACAGTAGAAAGCATAATACATTTTATAGTTTATCTCCTATATTTATTTAAAACCTTATTGTCTAGCTCACAATCCCTTTATCTCACGTCCTGCCATTGTTTATCGGTGGTAATATCACAATCACTATTGTAACAATCTCATTTCATGGCTTTCTCCCTCATTCCACTTCACTTGAATCCATTCTTGACCATGTTTGTCATCTCTCTTTAAGAAATAATTAACTGTTGTTGTTTTAAAACAGTTTTGGGTGGTTTGTTACACAACAGTGGATAACAGATATATTATTTGGACTCACACAATGGCCTCACTCAGGGGTGGCCTTGAAAGACAGCAGTGAGGGGCAGTCTCTCCCATTGGCAGAGGTTTGGATAGGATGCATGTTTCAAAAGAGAAGTACATTGATATAAGCTTATATGTGGACTCTTTAGCAGTGATAAATGGTTGGGCTTATTGGTCAGGGGCTTGGAAGGAGACAAGTTAGAATGAGACAAAAGATGTCTGAGGAGGAGACATGTGAATTGACACATAAACATAGGCATGAAGTGTGAATAGCTTTGATTTACATCATAATGCCCACTAGAAAGAATCTGCTATTGAAAGGGCACTAAATAACCACATAGAATAATGTAACCAATTGACAATAGACAGTCTTTGTCAAAAGTCACCCCAATGTTGCACAAAGGATTTGTTCGGGAGAAGGATTCAGGAACAGAGGTGTGCATGGGCCCGACAATATGACCCATCTCTCACCAAGGTGGACCTAGTACTGATGCTGCCAGTCATCTAATCTGCCAGCAGCAGGACTAATGCTGACTCTCTACTATGGCACCATCTCTTGAGCGGACCAATTAGACGAAGTTGATTACATTGTGTCCATTCCATCTTGGGAGACAGAAATTTATTTGGAGTGGCATTCTCTATGTGATTGGCTTTCCTACTCATTAGGCAGCACTATCATCCAAGAGCAGACACAATGTTTGATCTACCAACACATGAGCCTACATAAATTGCATTGAATCAAGCAATGTGGTTTTATTGCAAACAAGGTGTGGCAGAAACCTGATCACAAGATTCACTGTTCCTATCACATAACCTACTACCCTGATTCTGCCAGCCTGATAGCATGATGGAATGGCTTTTTGAAGACACACCTAAGGTGGCAACTTGGATCTTATATTCTGCAAGAATATGGTGCACATCTTTATCCTCCAGGATGAAGAGCACACCCTAAGTCATCAGCTATTATATGATGCTGTGTTCCCCAAGGGAGAATACATGGATCTGGTGTATCACAAACACCCACAACAGTGCCAGGCATATGTTTGTTTAATTCTGTAGTAAGCCCTTTCCAAGATTTTTTATTGCAATTCTCATATTTCTTTCCAATCTCTATATACAAAGAGCCAGGGTCCATAACATCCAAAATGACCAAAGGCTCGACCGAACACCGGAAGTCAGTCCTGCAGTCAGTGCTGGGTCACCATGGCTGCCCCTCTGTGGGCTCCTCAACGACCCAGCACTGACTGATGAGGGGGCTGCAATCAGGCCCAGAGAAAAAAGCAGGGTCTGATCACAGCCCC